GCTTTTCAGTATGCAATAGAGTTCACTAGTGGTGATCGAAATGAGTAATCTTATACCCGTATCACACCAGCGATTGGAGATTGTCTGCGTTCGCGTTTGCGTCAATTGATTAATAAAAAAAAGCTACTGCAGACCAGCAGTTCCTTTTTGATTGGTCAAGAGATGCAAACGCAATTTCCAATCGTTAGTGTAATATAGGCATTAAAGAGAGTGCGTGAAAGCTATCGATACAGTCAATAATACACGAAGATTGATACACAATAAACATTACATAATTTCTTTCAAAGAAAATGATGTAATCTTTATTGTGTATTAAATTACACGAATTCAAATTCGTTGTGCATGAATAGAAGTAACGGCGCTGACCTTTCTATGGCTTTTTTCCATGCAATGTATTCATTTCCCTTACCACATACATGTCTTTCGATATATAAAATAAGTATCGCGTAATATCTTTTAATCTACTCTCTGTTACATCCTCGCCCTTATATAAAATCGATAAATCTTTATATAATTTCTTTTTAATCTTTAAATAGAGGAAATAAAGATTAGGGCTGTTACTTTTAACAACTTCAAAGAATCAAAGTTTGGAAATAAATCGAATTTTCGAAATTGTCAAAAAAACAGATTTAAAAATATAAAAGTTGATAAGAGGAATGCTCGGAAAGCTTCCAAAAAATTTTTTATTTTATAATTATATTTTTTATTAGTATATTATGATTAAAAAACTTTAGTTACATATTGGAAATATTACTGAAAAATAGCATTATTTTATTTAAAAATAATAATCTCGTTGATTTTTTTTAATAAGAGTACTAATGAAACAAAATAAAATTTTATTAAAAAAAGAACATGATATATTTATTTTATTAAATGTAACTGAATTGTGTTGTGAATGTAATTGATAAAATTATTTTCAATTAAAATACTGCTGTTGATTTGATACAACGTCATTTTTTTCAGTATTAAAATGTAAAAATAATGGACTTTAAGATTTCAAGGTATCTGAAACGGTATCTTTTATTTTCCTTAGACAAGAAAGAAAATTTTTCAAGAAAACTAAGAGCGAGAGCACAGAATCTTGCATAACGCATAATGCATAAGAAAATGAAATTCTTCATTTCCTTGCTTTCCATGAAATAAAAGACTCTGATTGATTTTCTCCTTCATGCATTATACAAAGATTTGTGCTTGAGATGCTGCAGCCTATCCATTAAAGGACTGCATTCAGAAATTTTACTTGAATGCACCCAGATATTATTTGATCTATGTTGTTCATCGAATATTAAACAAGGATAAAATAACGCCTGGGTGCATCCGAGTAAAATTTCTAAACGCAGCCAAGATTAATATGAAATAAGAGGTAAGCCACTTGCAACAGAATTTAAAGCCTTCGATAAAATTATTGCGAGAGAATCAAATTCACGGAGCGGCGAGTCGAGACGGTCTCGTGAGGCGATTTAGCCGGCAGGTGCGCAGATTCCTCGGGGCACTGTCGAGGTCTACCCCACCCCTCCCACCCGTTCCTGTAAATGAAATGCGCGTTTCTGACGAAATCGCAAGTTCGGAATTAGTAAAGTGTTGCGTTCGCCGCCGCCGTCGCCATCGCCGTCACCGCGTGTGTCGAAACGACACTCGCGATATTACCAGCCGACCCACACACGGCCACACACACACATTCACACGGCCATACACACACATTCACACGGCCATACACCCCACACACACACACACACACACACACACACACACACACACACACACACACACACATTCACATTCACACGCGCGCGCGCGCGCGCGCTACAGAGATACCAGATATCCTTCGGTAAGGTCAAAATGGCGGAGAATTCCACGATCGTCGCGCTCGTGTACGAGGGGCGATATTGCGGACACAGTTTGCATTAATAGCGCGCAACCGAACGTGACGCAAGCTCGCGAAATATGTAAATTGCCTAACAGCTTCTCCGCGCTCTCGTTTACATTGTAAAAATGACCGCGCGTTGATGTCGGGCCGGACGACCCCGACGCGAAATTCCCCTCCCCTCTCATTCTATCGGAGCATCCTCGATTTCATCTCGCGGATTGTCGATTGAGAGAAATCGTCGTTATTCCCCCCCCCCTCTCCCTCCCTCCCCCCTCTTTCCCGTGAGAAGTACAATTTCCGGCGTCAAATAGCGAATTCGATTGGACGCACTAATGCGCACTCAATATTTACATTAGTTACTCTTATGAAGTACTTGGAGAAATGTAAAAATAATTAACTTTAAAATTTCTGGATATCTGATGCATATTAAAACCGTTATACGCTGATTTAATCTGAGTGTAAAAATGAAATACAAATATTTTGAATACATGTTTTATGTAACAACACAATAAAGTATGTGGTGAGAAAGAACTTCACGGTTTAACCCGGTTTTTATTTACGTTAAGTACACATTTTTACGTCAATTTGTATACGTCTTTAATATGCATCAGTATTACGATCGACTGCTATTATTGTATATACTATTAGACTCTTTAATTCATAGTGCTGTGACCTTTGTGGGTCGGAAATCCATCAGAAGAAGAAGAGAGAGACTACTAACTCATATACAAGCATCTCCGCACGCGTACATAAAAAGTTGGAGTTACTCTTTTAAAAGTTATGAATCTAGTAGTATACTAGTAGCGTTTGCACCAATTGAGTTGGAAAATGCTTTGCCATTGTTTGACGTTACACACTCTACCGTATAATAGGAGAGCACGACAACGTCATTAATTCAACTCATGCAAATTCGATCAGGCCAAAAACGCCATTATACAAAAGTCTGTACGTACCGAGTGTATCCAATCGAAATCGCTAAAAGATTGAGAAAGATGGATCTCGCATTAGCTGTTACGCTCCTTTTGTCAGGAACAAACAGATTGTTTGCATATCGCTGGTGGTGTCTCATGGAATGTAAACTCGCCTGCGATCGTACCGGTTTTAATGCCTGCGTCAAATCGCTCGTTCAACGTAAACACGCTCATTCAGCGCGAAGGTACGCTGACTCACAATCAGTGGAAATAAACAACGGAAGGAGAAAAAAATAACATTACCTGTGCGACAAACGTCAAGGTTGCAAACTCAAATATTTCCTAAACGAAAGCCAAAGGATCTCGACTGAAGACTCGAGAATCTTTCAAGTGAGAAACTTGATAAAAGTTTCAAGAGATAATTCTTATTCTAATATACTTAATAAGTGTAATTTCACAAACGTGTACTTAACAGCACATTCGAATTGATACGAATTCTTGGTTTTTCTAATGACATCATACTTCCGAGTCTTATCAGGAAATGATTGCGATTCATATTTGTGGAATTATTATTCAACGAGAGCATGACTTTAACTTTTTGATCGACCAACGATTGACTTTCTGAAAATCCCGGAAATATTCTAAAGTACAATTTAAATTCATAAAATTAGCGATGCATATTGAATTGCGATATTAATCAGCATAATTATCCAACTTTGATTAATTTATAACGTCAACGATAAGAAGTCACAATAATGTGTAATATTAACTTTACTTCCAATACGTCACGGAAACTTGCAGCAACATTGCTGCAACGTTTGCAATGTTATTGGAATATCATTGGAATGATTTGTGCTGTATGAGTTAATCAAACAATGATTATTGTAAATTACTGTTGTTCGCTTATTCGTCTGATGAATACTTTCCCGAGAACTGGGACTATTGCAGTTCCGTCATTTAATTGGCTTTCGATGCCATGGACGCGAAAGTAGCGCGACGATGGAAACGTAGAATCGCACTCATAACTGCTATTTCACGCGGAAAAAAAATTTAACGAGCCGTAAGCAAAATGTACGAAAATATTACAGCATACTTTCTTAAACTTTTTTACTTAATCTCACTTTAAAGAATAAAATCTCTTCAATGGCGCCTACAATGAGACTTTACGGCGTAAATTTGAAGCTTAAGCCGTAAGGAATTAATCAATCATAGAATCTATTATTTTCCTCACAACTGTGATTAATTATTCCTTAGAATTCCTTAGAATTTCAGGCTTAATTGTTTTACGCCTTAAAATCTCATTGTAGATACCATTGTAAAGACTGAAAATTGAGCCGGTTTTGAAAAAGAAGAGACTCAATTTTCAGTCTTTAAAGTGGCGTCTACACTGAAAAAAAATATAGTCAATTTTAATAAATATTTAGTTGAATACTAAATATTTATTAAATATAAAGATATTTATTTGATACAAGAAATGTTAATTTGATTTAACAATCATTTTTTTTTTTATTGAATCATTTTTTATTGAACAAATATCTACTTACTGTAAGTAAATATTTAGTTGGCAGTATTGAACTAAATATTTATTAAAATTAACTATATTTTTTTCTCAGTGTACAATGAGATTTGAAGGCGTAAAGCGACTAAACCTAAAAGCCTAAGGAATTAATTAATCACAGTTGTGAGGAAAATAATAGACTCTGTGATTAGACTCACTTTAAAGGCTTGAGCTTCAAGCTCTTTTTCGGCTTAATGTTCATTCTTTAAAGTGAGATTCTACTCCAAAGAATTTAGAGAGTACGTCATGTAATATTACAGATTTCCCCAATATTTTCGTATATACGATATTTTTCGAAAATAAGGCTCGGATCAATTATCGCGACCGGCAGATACGCCGGAAACGACGAAACAGACGTTCGCGATAATAATGTCGATGCAATAAGCAGCACTGCACTTTGCACTGGAGTCGCGCGAGATCGTGTACACGCGCGGCCAGACAACGACGACGTACACACAAGCACTTGGGGGAGAGAGAAGGGTGTCGCGCTGTTCGTCGTCGTTTTCCACCCCGCGAAACGCGAAGGCATCCTCCCCCGGTAGTATTCCACGGTCGATAGCGCGTTTCCTGCGAGTCAGGGAGTAGGTTGCACACATTCGACTCCTTTTCGGGTATTTCTTTTTTTTTTCCCTCCCCTTATCGATGTACGGAGACAGAACTTTACCTTCGTGTTTTTATTTTCCTTCGTAATTGTCGCCATGCGTCGTTCCTGAATCGGTGGGGTAGGTAGGTTGGTTAAGACGATTGAACGTCCGTGAGTGACACCGCGATCGAGCTTAATCGCTACGATCGTCCTCGGAGCCTTCTTCTTCTTCTTCTTTCTCTTTCTCCTTTTCTTCTTGGCTCACTTCTCGTCGGCTGCTGCGTCACGTCAACGGAGACGTGACACGTCGGTTCGCTGCTTTCGTTTCCGAAATGCGGCCGTTGATACTTGTCTCCGCGATGAGCTCTCGGGGACGAGATTTAAGAGAGAGAGAGAGAGCGAGAGAGAGAGAGAGAGAGAGAGAGAGAGAGAGAGAGAGAGAAAGAGAGAGAGCGTGCGCGAGAGAGACTCGTGGTATCCGCGCAACGGACGGTCCAACGTTTGGGCCGACCCACCGCTCAGAAACGACGGCGGCAGCAGAAAAAGCGAACACAAACTAACGTCGCCATTGTACAGCTGACAACTGCGAGCTGGTGGACGAGCGAACGCGAACGTAACCGTCCGGGAGCGCAGCGGCACTTCGGCAATCTTCGGCCGCGCCGTAGCTGGACGGAGGGACGCGAACGTGCGCCTTCGGCTAACATCGGTCGTCCCGGCAGTTCCGGCGAGGCCGCGCGTGGATCCTGTCTTTTCTGCAACCGTTTGTGTTTGTTCGATTTTACTTCACCCGGTATCAATTGTATCGAACGGTACGTACACCGGATATATCGATATCGCGATTCTTTCTTCTAATTCGATTGAATGATATTAGATATCTGAATGCAAGCACAGTGCGTATGAAACGTTTTACTGCACCCACCAAGGTTTTCCTTTTCAAATTTGTTTTAAATTGAAGCGATTGAGAACATTTAATTCATGCGTTATTGATTTTATTTAGAAGTCACTCATTCAACACATTAGACAATTAATGTGCTAACAATAATGTTTGTAATAAATTTGTGTAAGATACATTTTTAATATTTTAATGCACCAATAGGTCTGTTCGCATTGCATGAAATCCTCAAATATTTTTGCATTTAAAATGAGATAGATACATATTTTGCCTTGAAAAGAGAGAAAGCGAAGATGTCGAGTGCCAAAAGTGTAAGCAACGCGAACAGTTCTACTATAAGGCGATTTTCTGTTTTTTATTTTTTTTTAAATTGAAGCAATTGAAGGTATTTAATACTTGCTAGAATTACTAATAGTAACCTGTGCGTTTACAATCAATTTAATCCGGCAGGGAATCGATTCTGTATCTTAAAATGAGGTGAAAATTAAAAAAGTGAGCGAATTTACTAGAATATTGATAATTTCATTGGTCAACACCTAGTAAATTTGCTTACTTTTGTAATTTTCTTCTCTTGTTTAAAAATACGGAATCGATCTCCTGATCTTAAGATGTGTTTATAAATTATTGAGTTAATAAAAGTAACACACGTATGGAATACCTACATAACAATATTCCCATTCCAAAGTCGTCTTGTCACCTTTTCGGAAGTCAATGAGATGATGGCAGAAGTGTGTCTTGAATCGCCGGAAACGGGAACAGTGTTACATCACGCGTTGCTGCCACACACGTGTTACGATTGCGCACGCGGCTGATCGTTGTCGTAAGAACGGCTGGCTGAAATTGGAAAAGCCAATATTCGCAGAAGCGACAGATGCCTAATAATAATATCGAGATACGTAAGAGATACGCGTATCTTATCTGTATCTTTCTACAGAGGAAGCAAACACGCCGATCTACGCGAAAAGGATAAAGTATGATCAGAGGCATCCGGTTGCGAGAGACGCTACTGGCTGTCCCCTTCGACATGTGTAAATACTATACGTGGACTCTTCGAATCGCGACACGCAGTCATATCAATCTTATCAATTGTTTTAACGTATAAGGTACCTGAGCTGAATATGATCCACCATAATTTATTTTATTTTATTTTATTTTTTAATTCTATTTATGAGGATATTTATGAGGATTGAAATAAAAACTGAGAATCAAATCTTTATTTCATTCACTCACAAAAATAAAATATATTGTTTATATAGAATATTTGTAAATGAATGAAAAAAAATTTTGTAATTCTGACATTGGGCCTTATTGCATGTAAATATAATAAAAAATTAATTAAAAATAACAAAGAAAATAAATAATATTTTTCTCAATCAGTTTTAAAATGATTATTAATCATAAAAAAGAAATTCCTTAGGAATTTACTTTCAAACATTAAAGTTATCTCAATCATTTATTAATTATTTATTATTATTATTTATCTTAATTAATTATTTGATATCTTAATTAAATATTTGAGAGTAAATAATTATCATGATTTAGATGGATCCGATTTATTTTGAATATCTATATGCACCGGGATTTTTTAATGTGGAAAGATGATAAAATTGAGAGAAGATCTTAAAAATTTATGCATCCTCCAAACAAGTGAGATCTCGCGAGAGACTCGTTCGGTGCAATACGCCCTTGACCTACCTTAACGTTTCTCGTTGCGCGCGGGAGGCACGCTTTAAACAATTGCGCGTATAAGGGCATGCAATTTCACCCACGTATGACCGTGACGGGTCTCCCACACTGTAGGAAAAAAAGTATATAAAATCATACGAACGACAAGTGTAAAAATCGCATGATTTACAGCGGAAATGCATGTATTTTTTTATAAAGTAATTTTTGCACTTGATGTTTACGTAATTCTATATGGTTTCTTTCGCAATGAGACTTTAAAAATGTATTAACAGGAGAATATGACATCAGAGAAATGTTGGAAAATGATTTACAAACCATTACTGAAAGATTATTTAAAAAAATCATTTCAGGAGCATAAAATTTGTGGGTTTATATTTAAGATTCCAAATACGAGTTAACCGTTTTTCATAAAGCAACGTGTTATTTTATGTATTCTTTATATTCAACATAACAAAAGTATTCTGCAAAATGAATTATAAACGAAAAAAGAGACAATGTAAAATTACAAAATACATTTTCATATTAATTATGTACGAATGTTTGCCGGAGAAGTATTATATAAAACATGATTAAAATAATTGCAACACGGACATTACAACACGGTTTAAATTTTAAAAACTTTAGGATAATCAAATTCATTTTCTAAAATTGACAATTAGCTTTAAAATGTGTCTATGTACGTGCTAAATTGTCGATTTGTGTATATTCTATAATATATATTCCATACACACACATTTCAAAGTGTACACGCAAATCGACTCTAGGTATCGCCGACATGTATATAGCCGTACTCTCTTATATTTCGAAATAAAAGAAGGAGGAAGAAAGAGATAGACAGAGAGAGAGAAAGAGAGAGAGAGAGAGAGAGAGAGAGAGAGAGAGAGAGAAGCATCATTTATTAAGCGCTCTGGGACAAGTCTCCTCAAGCGCAAAAATATCAGTACAAAGCTAATCATGTAATAATAGAAGGAAATATTGTTTTTTATACAAAACAATATTGAAAAAGAAAAATTTATGTAGAAAAAAAATAAAAATTCAGGTGCACATAGACAATTTAGAATTTCAAGCATGCTATAATTTTACTAATGTGTAAGAGAGAGAGAGAGAGAGAGGGAGGGGGGGAGAAACGGAGACAGATAAGGCCACGATTGCGTGGCGCTTGGATCATGTTCGAGTCAGGGCAGGCCTTCGTTTCCAAACGTATCCCCCGCGTTCCGGCCGCCGCCGGATATTGGTCAATCCAGGGCCACCTTTTTTTTTCATCTCGCACACCATTCTGCATACATGGGTGCCGCCGGCACAGCGAAGATCAGCTGGACGCGCGCGAACGCGGAGCAAGCGCGATAAAGCACGAAGAAAGAGGATCACGGCGCGATCGATAATGCTCCGTAAATTATACGCGCCGCGTGGCTTGTCGCAATACGACGTTTTACGAGAGGGACGGGATCCGGAAAGTCCGCGTGATTCGCGCGCGCGTTATCGCCGCCGTTATTGCCGTCGCGTTTCGACAACGCCGGACACCATCGACATTATCGCAATATTTGTTTTTGCAATAATAATAACGGTACGATTAACAAAAGTGCATGAATAGTTTGAAAACGCTTGAAGAATATAGCAACCTCGTCCAATCGAGATATTTCCGCTCTTATCCAGATCCACTTGAGGAAAATTTATCTCGAGACATTTTTACTTTCGTCCTCAGTTATGTCGCCAAGAGGAATGTCTTCACATTTATTTCTTGCAATTCTCTAAAGGAGGAAGATGAGAATGGAAGATATTTCGTTATATGCAATCACAGTATACGATTATACGATTATACACTAAATTGATTGCTTATACAATATTTCAGTTTTCTGCCAACTTTACAAAGCATAAAAATTGCATACGTTAGGTCTTAACGTGATAAATATAAATATGTCTTATATTTTGTGAATCTGTTGTGTGTTACGTTTAATTATTTAGTGCTATTTTTTTATTTTTCTAATGTTTAACATTTATTCGTGTTTGTAATATTTCTTTTATTGTGCGCAGAGCTTCATTCTTTTATCAAACACGTGACAATTATCGATTACCAATCGATTATTGATTATGACTTTCAAAATCAAGATCAAATGAATAAATCGTAGACTTCTTGAGATTAATTTGGATTTGAGATTAAGACACTATTAATTTGTAATTGTAGTCATTTCTCTTTAATTTAAACTTTTTGAAGGTGGCTTAAAAATATAAATATATAATAAAGAAATATATAATCACAGCTAAAGATGTTTTTTTAGAGATAAAGTAATATATTTCGAATATGTTAACACATAATATTTGTATAAAAACATGTTAGCTGTGACTATATACTCCTTTATTGTAAAGTTCTCTTTAAATCTGAAATAGATAATCAATAGATAGATGATTCAAATTTAAAGAATTCGATTTAAAGTGACAAAAAGTAAATAATGATGTAGATACAATAAAATAAATATCAAGGGATTTCAGGAATTTCTTTTGTTTTCTCCAAATAAATGATAAAATTCTTCTTAAATCTACATGTAAATAACGATTATCTTTCTCTCGTATTCAAAACAGAGCCGAAATTATCATCGAATAACAATTCACAGAACTGGTTCTGTTTTATCTCCAGGAGGAATGACGACACCACAGTATCCTTTACCATGCGCATGGTACCAGCATTTTTAATAAGATATTTAAATATTCCACGATCTTTCCACTCGTTGTCATTTATGCGGATATTTCATCATGAAATTGACACGCGACTGACTTCAGTTGCGTCGTTGAAGGTTCATTGATTAGCGGTCTGTACTATCGGGCAAAATTTATTTGGCAATAAAATTTGTTCTTGGTAAATAATTATGTAATGTTCATGTATCTGTGAATCTATTTCTGCATATTTCGCGAGTTTGCGAATTAATTGCGCAGTACAGAAAATGTACTTTTCGAAAATGTTTTGAATTTGCGAGATATTTTCTTCTTCTTTAATAAGATTTTAATCGTCACTCCGTAACACTTCTTAATAATAGAAAATTATCAGCTAACGAAGTTAATTAAGGAACAATGCTTTTAGAATAAATTTTAAGTTCAAATTCTGTTTAGAATGATATTAATTATATAACGGACTAATTGATTAATAGATATAGCGAGATAATAATTATTAACTGTTTTTGCGTGTCTAGATCGATTTCCGGTGCACCACAGTTTCGCCTACTTAATATAGATTCTCAA